ATGCGTGCGGCCCAGGTTCGATCCTCAGCACCACATACAAACAAAGATGTTGTGTCCGCCGAAAACTAAAAAATAAATATTAAAATTCTCTCTCTTTAAAAAAATTTTTTAAAAATTAAAAATAAATAAATAAATTGTGGATGGGACTGCAAATTGGTGCAACCATTCTGGAAAACAGCATGGAGATTCCTCAAAAAACTAGGAATGAAACCACCATTCGACCCAGTTATCCCACTCCTTGGTATATATCAACATACTACAGTGACGCAACCACATCAATTCACAATAGCTTAGCTATGGAGTCAACCTAAGTGCCCTTCTACAAATGAATTAATAAACAAAATGTAGTATATATACACAATGGAATATTACTCAGCCATTAAGAAGAATGACTTTATCACATTTGCTGGTAAATGGATGGATCTGAAGACTATCAGGCTAAGTAAAATTAGCTATTCCCAAAAACCAAAGGTCAAATGTTTTTCTGATAGTGGAAGCTAACCCACAATATGGGTCGATTAAAAAAAAAAAGAATTGAAGTTCAGTGGAGTAGACAAAGGGGAATGAAGAGAAGAGAGGAGATATGGGAAAAGAAAAGACAGTGGAATGAATCTGACATAACTTTCCTACGCACATATATGAATCTCACCATCATATACACCCACAAGAATTAAATTTTTAAAAAATTGGGTAAACGGCAGAAAGATCAGTAGAGTAGAGGGAAGGGAACAGGAAGTGGGGGAGGAAAGGGGAAGCAGAAGTACTGGGGCCTGAATTAGAACAAGATATATTCCATGCTTGTATAATTATGTCAAAATGGATGCTTGTGTCATGTATAACTAAAAAAAACAATTGAAAAAAAGAGTGAGCCCAGCTTTGGTGCCCTTGGTGCCAGCTCTCCTCTAAGTATTATATTCTCAGACTCAGACCACCACAGTGAAGGCTACCCCAGTTTCCAGGTCTGCCCCAATCAATCCTGGAGTCACCCCATTCCTCACCCTCAGCAGATGGGAGATGATCTGCTCACGGATTCTCAACTTCTCTTGTTCAGTTTGCTCCCTCAATCTGTCCCGTGCCTTGGCAATTTCCGTCTTGGCCTCTTCACGGGCCTGCTGATAGTTGCGCAGCATCAGATCAATGTCAGAGGGTGAGGGAGCAGACCTTGATGCTGATTCAGGGCTCCTGTAGAAGATCACAGGATGGAAAGGTATCTTTTTACATGACAGTCCTCGCCAGCCCACCCAAGTCTAGCTCAATGCCATGTTCTTGAAGATCCCCTCCTCCCTTTGCCCACAGGGTCATGAAGTTTGATTTTTACAACCTTAGGTAGATTGCTAGACAGAGAGGAACAAGGCATTCTGAGGTCCATGTCTGTAGGCTTGCTTTGAATCAGAGACATTGTTTATACTTTCCCATAACTTCTCTGTCCAACCCCTTCTCATCTCGTTCCCTCTTACACACTATTTTTTCCATTTGCCCTGGTCTCCCACATTCACTTCCATTTGACCACAGGCATGCAGGGCCTTCCCGGATGTTAAAACTCCAGCCCCTGCTCCCCATGATCCCCTCTACCACACAGAGCCTGCTCCCTGCAGGGTTCTGGGACCATCTTCACCTGGTGATCTCTACAACATCCTTCCTTAGTTGTTGCAGGTATTCTCGGCGCCTGCTGGGCAAGTCAAAGTTCTGGGTCAGGAGATCCCTGCTGGGTAGGAGGCTCAGTTGTTTTGGGGGGCTTCTTGTTCTGCGGAAGTTCTGAAGTCGCTCAGTCCGCTCTCTCCTGAGGGTCTCGATGGCTTTTTTTTGCCTGCAACAAAATGGAATTGAGTCACTGAAACTGTACCTGAGTGCCCTTCCCCCAAGCTCTCTCTGACCCTCTCTGAATATTCCCAAATGAGCAAGGACAGAGGGAAAAGTTCAGCCATTAGCTTTCTCAGGTTCTTTTACCTCAACCCACCCTTGCCCTTCAGGCTGGGACCCTTACCTAGCATAGAGCTCCTCCCAGGTGGACATCATATGTTCTTCAGGAACAAGTGTCTCCCCTGTTCCGCTCTGCAGCACCTGAAGCAGTGCATCTGCCTCCCCAAAGCCATGGTGCAGTTTTGCTTCTGTGAGTTCCAGGCTGAGTGACGGCTTCTGGGCTCCAACTTGTAGGGGAATCTGCTCCCTCTGGGACCACTCAGGATCCTGGCTCTGGTCATCAGGAGGTTGTGGGGGCTTCTGAATCTGCTCCCCAGGGCTGAGATCAGTGATAGCCCCCAGTTCCTTGCTTATACTCAATTCCCCAAAAGAGTCATTCTGAACCCCATCCCAGTTACTAAGTTTGTTATGTACCAGGAGGTCCCTCAGGCTGCAACGCTGGGGGGCAATGCATGCCTGGGAACTGGGGCATGGCATCCCCTCAGGTTGGCAAGCCTGAGGTTGGTCCACATTAGAACCTTGAAGGCTTGCAGTATCAGTCAACTCAGAAACAGGATGAGGGCTGAAGTGCTGGAGGCTTCTCCTTGAAGAGGCGAGGTTCAGAGTAGGCTGTGGCTCCACCGGAAGTATTGAATTCTCCCCTTCATTTTCTGGATTGCTCTGCAAAGGACTTGGCCCCCTAGTGCTCAGCAAGCTATGATCTGGGGAAGCCACCTCTTCAGGCACAAAGCTATTGGCCAGCCTCTGGCTCTTGTCCCATGGTGGTAGAGGTGGCAGTCTACTTTGGACCTCAGTGGTGGCCCTGGGCTGCAGCTGCTGAGGGGGCTTCCCTAAGAGGCTAACTTGGAGTCTGGGACTCTGCTGTGTGGTGCAAGGGGAGTTTGACTCAAGGAACAAGCTCTCATTACTCCTTCTTAAGGAACTTGTGCCTTCTCTACCCAGAGTCTCAACTCTCTGGGAGCCACCTAACTTATCAGCAGTTTGAGAATAATTATCCATTGGAGGTCTTGGAACACCAAAGACAAGGTCTGGGCTGGAGTCCAGCTTCTGGTGGCTTTCAAGAGCATAATCAGAGGGAGCAGAAAGAATCAGAGCACCTGAGAGCAGACCTGACTCTTGTGTGCTAGCACTAAATGTGAGGATTGGAGAAGAGGCCCTGTCCACCATCAAGGCACTCCCAGGGCTCAGCTTCTCCTGGACCTCAGGTTCCTGGTTGGATCCCCCTGAAGTACTGGGGAAGAGGCCAGGGGTAAGACAGATGCTGCAGTTGGGGCTATTGACAACCATGCAAGAAGATTCCTCTGGCTGGGAACTGGGAGGCAGGGAAGCATTGGGAGATGCTGGTGGGCTTATACAAGGGAGGTTGGACAGTACCTCCCTTTTGTGGGATATCGGTATTAGAGGGCTCTGCAGCCTATGGTGGGTGCTTTCCTCATGAAGATCTGGGGGTGCTGCCATTTTCCATGATGTTTCCTCTGCCTCTGTACTCTGAAGTGTCCCTGGGATATTTCCCTTCTGTTGAGACATGGCTGAAATATCTGAGCCCAGAACTTCAAGGATCACACTGACTTCCTGAGATTTGGCTTCAGAGGTTTGGAGGTCCAGAGGGGATAAGGCCAGGTCAGTCTGGATTTCCTCATCTATAGTGGTCTGAGTAGTACCATCCATCATAAGGGCTTGTGGGGCCTCATCTGGTGTGTTTCTTCTGGTGCTTTGTTCTTTTTTGCCCACACTTGGCTGAGAGAGACTCCCAAGTAGCTCTGAGGTATTGTGCAGGAGTTGTGAGAGGTGGAGAGATAGGTTGTGCATGCTGGTCCAGGAGGTCAGGTCAGAGGCTGACCCTGTACAGGCATCAGGCTGAGCAGAGGAGATATTGGCACAGCTCCAGGGGAGCCTGCAGCCCAGAGTCTGTGTGCCTTGCTCAAAGGTATTCGTTCTGGTCAGTCCCACAGGACAGTCTGCCTCCGGTGGATACAGCAACACAATCTCATCAAGTAGACCTGCAGAACTTCCTTCAGCTGAAGGAAGGGTGTGCTCACTCCTCAGACAGCCTGCTTCATCAATGGTGCCCTTGAACTCTGTTTTCTTGTCAGAACCCAAAATGGGGGTTAGTCCTTCACGGCCTGTAAGAATGTGGGAGTCCCTCAAGGGAAACAAGGAACTGCATACTTCCCAGGCCTCATTTGAACCTTGGATATTATCAGTGCTACTGTGTGTGCTTGACAAGTCCTGGGTTTTGGCAAAAGTACTGAGGCGAGAGTGGAAGGGGGAGCTCTGTTCTTCTAAGTCACTGTCCATGCTGGAGCACCTGGCCACATTTGATGGTATCAGGCCATGGGGTTTCTGGGTGCAGGAGACATCGACTGTATTACCAAACACATATTGTTTCCAACCAATGTGTACAGGTTCCTCTGGACACCAGGGTAGAAGGTAGGGATTGATATCACTGGAACCAAAGTGCAACATTTCTTTGTCCATCTGAGAGTACCAATTCTCTGGCCTAATCTGGATACCCAGTTTCTCTGGCTTTCCTTGTTGGGCCTGTTCCAAAGAACGAGACATCCAGCCGGTCATTAAATCAGGGGTTGGCATGCATGAGCGTGTGGAAGATGTTGGGTAGGGAGGGGTGGCAGGTTTCGGGGGTCTGTGATCAGCATGGCCATTATCCAAGTTAGATGAAACTTTCTGACTACAAACCTCAGCCTTTGTAGACATTCTTGACACCTGATTTTCCAAGGAATAGGTCTTGAGATGTGGGTCCCACAATATATTAGGCCCTGATGCGTCTTCATCTATAGGGGATGGAGGCTCCACACTCAAGTTCAGCTCCTGAAGAGATCGAGATGAGCTGACCACGGAGAACTGGGGTCTGGGATAGGACTTGGAGTGTTTGGGGCCAGAGAAAACTGCAATTACAGGAAGTGAGCACTTACGGTGGAGAGCTAGCTGCTCCTTATCAAAGCAGTGCTGGCTAGGCCTCTGGGCAGCAGACTGTGGAACTTTACTTTGCTCCAGAGGAGCAAAAGCTAGGTCTTCAAAGGCTGATAAGGAAGTCTGGGATTCAGGAGTCTTGGGGACAGACATCTCCTCTCTCCTAGCACTGCTAGTGTGATAGCTATCCAAATCACCTTCATTAGAGGGTGGGGAATTCCTGACCTGGATAGGGTCTTCACTACCTCCTAAAGCCTGATCTTTCTGCTGCTCTTCCTCTTCCCAAAGACTGTCAATCTGAGGATAGCAGATAGGTTTTAACCTTGTTACAAGTTTGGCAGGAGGATTCGAGCAGTTGTGATCCCTGGACTCGGCGGAAGACTGTAGCTTTTCTGAAAGGCATCTGATGGTTTTTCTTAAACATTTGAGTTGTGGCTCTACAACCACCAGCTCATTTTCAACTGAGCTCTCATTTAAATTTAGGGTGTATGGTCTGTGAGTTGTTGCAAGTGGTTCTGGCTTCATTTGAGACGCCTGCACATTGTGGCCACATACAGAGCTATCTTTCAGATTCCTCAGTGGCTCAGAGTACATGGCTGCTGGGAAAGAGACAATCTCAACTTCTGGGCTAGCTTTCTCAGCAAGCTTTTCTTCTTGATTCCCTTTGGACCTTGAACTTCCTTCAGCAGCTGAGTGGATGTGGGAACTTGTCCTTATATCAGGGGTAGAAAGGGAGCTAGAACTTTGAGCTAAAGATAGAACAGATGTTCTAGTAGAGGGCTCAAAACTGGGGCTGTCTATTGGCCCAAGTTCCATATGAAAGCCTTTGGGCTCAAGGCCATGTGCCAAGAGCACATGGGATTCTTTGGAAGAACTCTCTCCTATCTGATGCATTTCACAGACCCTAGAAGCTACTATGAAGGGTGGGTGGATAGGATGTAGGGCAGCCTTGGGAATTCCTTTCTCCAGGTCACCATCTCTATAAACCAATGAAATGGAACAATGGGAGGGAGAGGCATGAGTAGCAATGGGTTGAGAATTGCAGAGTTGTTGGCAAGGAACAGTTCTGCTCTCTTCTTCCTCTCTAGATGAACTGAGAGTCCTGCTGTTTTCAGTGTTCCCTGAGAAGACAAGGGGATCTCTGGTTTCCTCTGGGCATCTGCAAGGTCTTTGATCTTGCAATGGGGTTGACCTGGGATTTATGTTGCCAAACCTACAGGTTTCGGCCAGCGCAGACCCAACATTCCCCTTCCACTTCTCAGGCTGCTGTGTGGGAGCTTCCAGTTCAATGCTTCTCAGGCCTCCAGGCAGAACAGCATGTAGTTTTGGACTTGCTTTCCCTTCTTCTGAGCCATTGGAAACCTCGGGGCATTGGACATAGTCTTGCTTAGGCCCTAAGCAGCTTAAAGAATTCTGAACATTACAGATCACAGACTGACTTTCAAAATGAGCTGCTTTTTTTTCCTGTGCACTCACAGAGAAGTTATCCAAGACTCCTTCATATGTGGTGTCTTGAGTTTTAAGTTCCTGCACTGGGCTGCTATCCTGAATGCCAGAAGACATGTCCTTTGCAGTCTCCCCTGCAGCTGACTGACTTTGTTCGTGCAGAATCAACCCAGGATCATCACAAGGGGCCTGAGAAGAAAAGACAGACACTGCTTTTTCTGATCCCACTCTTCTGTCTCCCTCTACAGCTGGTGAAAAAAGCCCACTGAAGGCCAAAGGATCAGCATAGGAAGGTGTTCTGGGTGCTTCTTTCTTTTTCTCTGTGATTTCAGGAGAACCAGGGTGACATATAAACTGTTCACTTGCTCCAAGGACATGTCTCAGTTCTCTAGTACAATGCCCTTTGTCTAAAGCAGGGGCAACATGAGAGGAAGCCTGTGAAGGATGCTGTGGCCCTCTGTTAGTTTCAGTGTTGGGCAGAGATGGAAAGCTGTTTTCACAGAGGGGTATGGCTTGGGATTTCCCTTCATCAGTCAACAGATGTCTTGGTGTAGCAGACAGAGATGCTACATGCAATGCCTGTGCTTCACCCTCATTCCTGATCCCATCCGACACTAACTGGTCCATCTGCTTACACTGCCTGCCAGTGGCCCCTGAAGAACATTCAGGTTCTACTGAAGTTTCATAGCAAGGAAGGACTGTCCCCCCAGCCACAAAGTCATTAAGTTGCTTTCTCTGGGCCTTTGCCTGTCTGACCTCCTCCAAGATAGCCAGGCACATGGATATAGGGACAGAATGCTCTGACTGCCTGGGCTCTGGATCAGCCACCCTAGGCAGGGAAACACCTGCTAAACAAGCCCCACTGGTAGGGAAGCCTGGGTCCTCAGACTCCTTCTCTGCCTTTTGCCTTGCCCCTTTGCCTTGGTCACTGTTCTCTTCTAAGGAGAAGCTGACCCTCTTTTCAAACTGCCTAGAGATACTGTTCAAGGAACTGGCTTGTATTTCTTTTTGGATAGCTGCCTCAACTTCAGAACCAAAACCTTCCTGAGTACTCAATCCCATCAAAGTGATTCTGAGTTCCCCTTGTTGGTGTTGGGGGCTGGTGCTTGCTGTTATCCTGTCCTCTGTCCCTGGGGGAGTGTTCTCTGGTGCACTAGACTGACCATGAGATCCCATGGCTCTATGTATCACAGATCCACACCAAGCAGAGTGTTCCATGGCAGAGCCCCCTCTATCATTTCCCTGAGGGCTGTGGCTTCTGGTCTCTCCACTCTGGTTCTGATAATCAATTTCAGTTATTAAGGGACTGTTATGAATTTTCAATACTGTAGGATTCAGCACATACTCAAATGAAGAGATGCCTTCTTCAGTAACAAAGGAATGAATATAACTTCTTGGCAGTCTTGGAGAATGCAAGGGCAAGGTATTGCTCAGATCTTGGTGAGAAGGAGCTGTAGAGAAATCTGTTTGGCTCAGTAATGGGAAGATAGTCTCCTGGTTGAAAAATGTGCCCATAGGGTGCTGGCTTGAACTAGGATGTTTCTGAGTTGATAACACCATATTATTTTCATCTTGTAGGCTCCCTTCCTTTTGCATGGCCATTTCTTCAATTTTACCTTGAGCTTTTGGTCTGTCTGGCTTGGAACTACTTTGGTGTCTGGCAATTTGGCTTTCCAAAAACCCTTTCATAGTCTCCAGTTCTTCAAGATTTCCTAAGTTCCAAGGTTGCTCTTTGGGGTTTGCTGATGCATCTACCAACTCATCACCCTTTTCAAACCTTTCTGGCCTGGGCTGCAAGGACAGCGCTCTAGTCAATGTTTTCATTTTCCTTGGGTGAAGAGAAGTATTGGTGGACTCTCTGTGAGTTGAGTCTTTTCCTAAAGAATCACATGTATTCCTAGCAGGTCTGTCTAATCCAGCTAGGTAGGTGTGCTCTCTTACAGACTGACTCTGTTTTACACATTCCCTTGAACTGAAGGGACTCAGGGTGATTCTCTGTGCCTGAGGGTCATCCACAGTAGGACTATTTACCTCCATTTCCCTAGTTTCACTATTATTAAAAATAATTCCATCTGCCTGTCTTGGAGAAGATGGCTGATCTTTGAAGGACAAATTGTTTCCAGAGCTGCCTGGCCTCAGAACATGGTCACCATTCTCCTGGTCTCTTTGGTCCTGGAACACAAACTCCTTACTGATACCTGGTGTGGAGGAAGCATGAAGCTGCTTGGATTCAATTTCTAAGATGTCATTTTCTAGCTGCATCACACTTCTAATTAGCCTAGCCATTTCATCAGCATTACTAATTCTTTCATTTTTTTTCTTTCCCAAAGGTTCTTCTTTGTAGTTTGATATTTCTTGTGACTCTCCTGGGCCCTTGCATTCACTGGGCTTTCTTTCTTGAGCATATGTAACTGATTGAAATCTTTCATAGGTAGACTCTATCCCTGGAAGCTTAAACTCTTCTGGGATGTTTTTGGGGTGAAAAGCTTTTCCAAGAAGCCCAATTTCATTCCTCCCTTCCCACTTATGGGTTAGGCTCTCATCCTGGGCCATGAGGATATGGCTGCTTACTCTATGATGCACTGATCTGAACTTTGAAGAAACAGTAGTTTCCCCTGCCACATCCTTTTCAAGGTCTACACTGGTTGTTTTACAGATGAAATCAGACCTGGCTCCAGAAGGAATCTGTCCGTTTATATCACAGACCTGAATCTGCTGCAGGACTGCATTCTGATTCTGCTCGTCTTCCCCACCTGTTTCAGATCCACCAACAAAAATGAAAGGTTTTCCAGACCCAGAACTACCTGAAGAAACACTGCAATGAGACTGCACAGTGGCCTTTTTTCCCTCCTTCAGAGCTGGAAGATTGTGCTTTTTACTTAAAATTCCAATTTGATTTTTAGATTCATATACTTTTGTGCTGGTAGAAGGGAGAAAATGTCTGTTCTGAGTAACAAAAACATAAACTGAATTATGACTTTCTTCTTTAATATTTCCAGCACATTTCCCTAACTCTCCAATAGCTTCCCTAGTTTTCAGATCAACTGGCATCTCTGCTGTGACCTGCTGAGATGAGGCGACCTTGGAATTTTGAAATATCACTGGTAAATCATTCTTCAAACAAGCTTCCTGAAGGTCTTGGTGGTTGTAACCAAAGCCCCAGGCTTCCCTGGGGGGTGGCGAAGGCACATGTACTTCTCTGTAAGCTGGAATCTCTAAGGCAGTTTCTGTCAGGGCATCCCTGCTTTTGGTTATGTAGAATGTTTCCAAGGGAGGTGGCTGCAGGGAAGATGGGAAAGGATTCCAGGGAGCTGAGTGGAGGTACAGCTCTGGACCTGATGGAAAGGCAAAGGAAACATTTGTATATCTTTCAACTACTTCCTTAGAGCTCTTTTGGCAATCTACTTTCTCTTTCTGTAGGTGGTGGTGGCTGTTTTGACTTAATTGCTCTGGATGAACTGTACTATTGTTTCTGAGAGGAGCCAGGCCTTGAGGCCAATGGTCTGTTTTGGTGGATACAGTGACGTTATTGTGATAAGCATTATTCTGGAGGAAATACTCTTCAGAGGAAGTTATCAGTCCAGGTTTTCTACTGTTAAAGCACTCTTTCAAGTTATTCTGTTTAATTTCACATGTTTTTTTCATAGAATTTTGTATCCTTTTCTCTGATCCGGAAGCCAATGATTCTAAGTCTGCTGAATAAGCTCCATTACAACTCACTTCTTTCTCACTTGTGCTAAGGAAATCTGAAGCAATTTCTAATTTGGCTCTCAAACTGTCCTGGTTTTTTTCTGCTCTCAAATGCTTGATTTTGGATAGACGGATTGGAAAGTTGTTGAAATCTGAACTGGTGGATAACCCAGAACCAACTGACAATCGAGTATCTTTTCCTTTTCCAGAAGCTTCAGCCAGGGAACCAGAGTCTTCCTCAGGGCAGGGGAAAGCTAGCCTGGGCTTTCCTACAGCCTCCAAAACAGGATGAGAGAGTTCAAGAAGGTACTTCTGCTGAAGTGCAGCCCAGTCCCTTTCATGGGTACTGCCTACATAAATGAACGAGGCGGCAGAGGGAGCCAGCACAGTTGGCACACTAGAATCATGGGAAACTTCAGAGCTGCCTTGTTGCATTGTATCAGTAATACTTATGCCCTGAAAGCTGCCATCAGCTGCTGGCTGAAGAAAACTTTGAGCTTCCCAAAGTGACAACTTGGATGTATCAGAAGTAGAGGTTGGGTACACATCTCTTGCATTGCAAGGCAGCTCAGTACTGCCTTGGGGAAATTTTGAGCTACATTGGAGGACTGTTTCTGTACCTAATGGCTTTAGTTTTCCAATATTTAGCCAGTATCCAGGCCTTTCCTCACCACAGGGCTGAACTTCCTGGACATTAGGACTTGGACATAAAGAACTGGGATTGATTTTAGAGTCACAGGAAAACCAGGAATCCATGGACACCAGAGGGCTCCCTCTTGACACCTGTATGCCTTGGAGAGAGTCAGTTGGTTCAGAGTAGCTTACCTCCACCTGTGACTCAGGCTGCTTACAATGGAGCTGGAGCTCAGGATTGAGATAAAATGAACTGTTCATTGGCAGGATGGCATTCAGCATAGCTCCTGTTCTGTGGTAGGTGGACCCATGTCTGCATGTTACCTCTTGGTCTACTATAGGCAGAATGGGATTCTGCAGGTGCCAGAACGTCTCTGTGGGCATCTCATCAGATGAATCAAGAAAAGTTACTCCCTGTTGATCTTTCCCCAGTTCTTTCTCAGCATTAATCAGACTATCCAAGGAAAAGCTCCTATGAGCAAGTAGACCACAGTCTGAGGATGTGGTGAAGTTCTGTACGGAGGATCCAGCTCTGTTCCTTGGGTGGACATGGTCGTTGGTGGGAAGACTGGACTGGGGACTTTCTTTGGGGCTTTGGTACCCTTTCTCAGTCAATGAGTCCTCAGATATTTGGCTGTTGTCACTTTCAGAGTTCTCTGGCTCTGGGTGATCCCATTTTCCTCGAGGGTCCTCTGGTTTCAGTAGCTTCAACAATGAAGATTTGGCATAGACAAAGGAGAGAGAATCTACTGAGTAATTGCTATCTGTGTCAGATAAATCATTTTCTTTTTCTTTGGCACAATCTACTATTTGGCTGGAATCTGTAAGTGAAGTCATGGTGTCTGGATCGTCTACACTGCATTGTCTCTTTAAAGAACTGCTATTAGACAAATGAGAAGACTTTTTGGCAATGTCTCTGATCCTAGCTGCTGGCACTCTCTGATGTTGTTGTAATGCCCTGTTTGGAGGTGGTTTGGATTCTGCCTGAAAAGTCTTGGCTATTTTTCCAAGCCTAGCTGCCTCCCTGAGTCCATGAGGATAGGAGAAACTGCAACTGGTTCCCTTAGCAGCCTCATGGATCCCAAGGTTCTCTTCTTTTTGCCACCCAGCTTGTGTACTGCTGCTAGAGTCCACTAGTCCCTTAGCCTTTCTGGTTTGGGAGGTAGGGGTGAGGATTTTTGGTCCTTCCCTTGGCTTTAGCTTGTTAGTTGACTGGCATAGACTTGTTAAGCCCCGAGACACCATCCAATAGGGCCATTTACCCACTCTCTTCGTTTCCTGAATGTCAACAGACTCACTGCTCACAGTGAGGCAGGTGTGTGGAGTTGAGGCTCCCTTCCTGGTCAAGGCTCCTCTAGCTGTATACAGCTGTGCTTGGCCTGGGGAATGGAGGCCATTTTTGCAGAGACACCTTGTATTTGGAGGGTAAGCAGCAGTCTGTGGAAAATGATATTTGGATGGATTTTTCTCTGATATGTGATGAGTTGGGTCAGGCATAGGTGGTAACATAGTAGAGAGGTCCCAATTCAGAAAAACCCTGTGAAGACAAGGAAACTCATTTCAGAAAAAGCTAGAGGTTCTCTACATCCTATTGACAGAAGGAATATGAAGTTCCACTTAGTTTGCTCTGAAAGTGTTAAAAATCAGATCCAATGTCACTGTGTCTTACAATCAGAGACATCAGGGTCAGAGAAAAACACAACAGGTACAAAAGAAAACTGTGGACTATAGTCCTGGCTCTCCCAGATGTACCATACTCTTACTCTGTTTCTCTTATAACAAAAATTATACTGACTCTAAGCATGCCTTTAGGCAAGGTGAAGAAAAATGAACAATTAAAATGAATAGAATCAAATGGATAAATCTATAAAGTGGTACTTTCTACAGAACCAATCAATGATGTGAGGAAATAAAAACAAAAATAGTAAATAAAAGAAACTTTTATATATATATCACATGTAGTATTAAATCCTATTTGGATCTGGATTTGAAAAAACAAGTACAAATAGATATTTTTGAGGCAACTTGAGAAATTTAAATGTGACCTAGGTTAAAGATTTTATCAGGTAATTAATCTTAATTTTGGTAGGTGTGATAATGACAGTGTGGTTATAAGAATACTCCATTATTTTAGAAGTGTATACTAAAGGATGTAGTGTTGAAGTGACATAATGTCTAAGAGTTGCTTTAGAATACTTCAAAAATCAGGAATGTGGGGAGATAAATCAACTGTGAGGAATCTTGATAACTGCTGGATGTGAGTAATATACAAACTATTTTCTCAACTTTATATATGTGTGAAAATTTTCAATGGTGAAAAGTTGAGAGAAAAAAGTCTACTTCTTACTCTGAGGATCAGAGAAGTGAGTTAATATAACAGACTTAATTGTGAGCCTCCTATGGGCAAGGTCCTGTGCTAGACCTTGAGGATATAAAGAGGAATAAGATACAGGCCCTGCTTATAGGAGTCTGAGAGATAACTCATCCTTCCGCTTTATGGCATATAGGTAGTGAAGGAGAAGATAAACAAGGAAGATCCCAGTAAGAACCCATGAGGGGGGGCTGGGTTTGTGGCTCAGGGATAGAGCACTTGCCTAGCATGGGTTCGAAAGGACTTGATTCTCAGCACCACATATAAATTAATTAATTGATTAATTAAAAGATCCATCAACAACTAAAAAAAAAGAACCTATGAGGGAGCCAGGTGCGGTGGCACACGTAATCCCAGAGGCTCAGGAGGCTGAGCAGAAGGATTGTGAGTTCAAAGCCAGTCTCAGCAAAAGCAAAGCAAGGTGCTAAGTGAGTGTTAACTCAGTGAGACGGTATCTATAAATAAAATACAAAATAGGGTTGGGTATGTGGCTCAGTGGTCGAATGCCCCTGAATTCAATCCCCGGTACGCCCCCCCCCCAAAAAAAAAAGAACCTATGAAGTGCTGAAATTAGGGTTGTAGCTCAGTGGTAGAGCACTTGCCTAGCATGTGTGAGGCACTGGGTTCAATTCTCAGTATCACATATAAATAAAATAAAGGTCAACTGACAACTAAAAAAATATTTTAAAAAAGAACCTCTGAGTCAGAAAGAGCTCACCAGGGAGTCAGGAAGCTCCCTCGTGTATGGTGGTAGTTTTTTTGTTTTGTTTTGTTTGACATAATGGGGATTGAACCAAGAGGTGTGCTACCATTGAACTACATCCTTAGTCTTTTACTTTATTTAGAGATAGAGTCATGCTAAGTTGCCTTAGTCTCCTGAGTAGCTGAAATTTCAGGCATGTGCCACTGTCTGACTTAGGAAGCTCTCTTGATGTGACAGGTCAAGGGGGTAAGGGAGAGGGAGGCAGCATGTGGAAATAAAGAAGTCTGGTCTGAGGCAGGATGAGACTAAGGTGGTAGAAGGACATACAAGAAGTATGCATGGATAGTCAGGGTCTGAAGAGCAGATGAAAAATGAGTAATATCTCCTTACTCAGAAGATAACAGTAGTAAATAATGGTACTCTTAGAGGGAGAGAGTAGGTAGAAGCTTGACTCTCAAAAGATACAGAGAAAGAAGAGAAGCCAGAAGAGGAAAAAGTAATGAGGAAGAGAGGAATAAACAGATTTTTTTCCCATTTAATGACTGAGGAAACTGAGGCACTGGGGAATAAAGAACACTGCCTAGCTAAGGGCTTCCAGATGACAACCATTGGCTTGTACCTGTGCAGGTGGGGCAAGTGCTGGCTGTAGAGCCTTTGGAGGCTCAAAGAACTGCAACTTGTCCATTTGCTTCTATGTTGAGGCCCTGGGACAGTGGCATTAGAGTTGGGGGCCAAGCATGGGGACTTGTGTCTGCTGTCATCCTGGAACCAGCACAATGCCCTGAGCTGCTCCAGTCTCTTCTGGGACTCCAGCAGCCTCTGCTTCCTGATGCTTCTGTCTAGCTGGAATAAGACCTTTTTACGCCAGATGTTCCCTTCTGCTGCCCGAAGAGCGTGTCTCCGCAGGAGCTGCAGCTGCACCAGTCTCTTCTGTTTTGGGACCAGTGGGGATGGTGGAGTATCAGGATGTGTCTGAAGCCAAGCATTAGGTGCCAAAGAGGCCTCAAGTGCTTTCCCTGTGCCACAGTCTTCTTGTTGCTGCTGTTCCTGTAAGCTGTACAGCCAGGATTCTTCTCTGAGCAGCCACTGCTGGTCTGGGAACCAAAAACAGCAGAAAGAAAGTCAGCGCATAGCTCCCTGCCTATGGCTGCCTGGGCTCAGACATATCCAATCAGGTTGGACCTGTGTAGAGTAAAAGTTCTGGCTAGAGTTACGTGGCAGAGCAAGGGCTACAGAGCCTCCTTACCACAGGGGAGGGAAACAAAGACCCCTAGGCCTCAGTACAGTAGTGGGCACACATTAGGGCAGGCAGAAAAGTTTGGAAAAGTGTGTCAATAAAAAAGAATGAGTAGGAGGCCTGTCATTCTGAGGAGCCATAAAGAAGTTAGCTTCCTTCTTATTTTCAGCCCCCATGGAAGAGCCTCTAGTCTCTCAAAGCAGGGAGAAAATACCTAATACCAAAGAGTCCATCAAATCACCAAGAAAACAGAGACTGCAAAGAGCTATGGAAACATAACAATGGAAGAACTAGGTAAGGCAGAAACCTGAAATGGTGGGTACTTACTGTCTTTAGTTTCCTGGCTGATGTAAGCCTGGTTGAATGCCAGTTCCCTTTCAGCTGTAATCTGTCCTGCTAGGATTCGTTGCCTCAAAGCCTCCACACAGCACTGCTGTTGCTGAATCTGAGCTCTGTGGGATCTCTCTCCATCCCTTAGTGGCTGGTGATCCTCATCATACTGCTCTTCCAGTACTCTCCTGTGAAAAAAAAGGGGTTCGGGTTACCCAAACAAAACAAGCTCAGGATAAAATGGTGGCAGTCTAAGTCACTCTGAGAGAGCCTCTGAATTCAACAGGGTAGAGAGGGCTTTAGACTTCTGGTGGCTTGGGACAAACAGGCATGGTGTCACAGGCAGCTCATGATGTCACAGTGCAGGAGGAAGAACAGTCATTAGACTAGCATATTCTTAGAGTTGTGGGTTTAACAGAAACATATTCATTTTGGTTAAGGAAATCCTAAGGAAAGTAAACAGATTTTTTTTTAAGACAAAAAAAATTCTAGCCATATGAAGAAGCTCTGTCCTTAAAAAAAAAAAAAAAAAAAAAGCAAAAAATAAAAAGGTGTCTGCTTAAAATCCCTGTGAAACTCTGAGTACTGCAGAAGCTCCAGATACACTAGGAGGGAATATCCAGGGATTACTACTATACTTCCATACCTGGAAACAGAACCCCACTGTGATCCAGTAATAAGTAGCCACTGACGCAGACATAAGATAATTTATAGGCAGCTATATCTCTGGGTATGACAGGAGACCCAGAGGACAGCTAGTCTCCAGTAAGGGAAGTTCTTAGTAAAGAAACCCTAAAATAGGGTGTGAATTTTAGACTGTACCATACCTCTCAGTATGGTAGATACTAACGTATTTACTGGTGAAACATGTCATAGATTTGTTTAGCTCCAAGTGAGGGAAAGTGAGTGTGGATATTAATAAAATAAGATTAGCCATGAGTGGATACTTTGTGTTTAAATTTACCATAATAAACAATTTTCAAATAATATTTTATTAGAGTCATGCTTTATTCTGCCCCAGGTTCCTGCATGATCACTCTGAGAGAACTAGAGAATGGGAGAAAAATCTTTGCCATCTGCACCTCAAATAGAGCATTATTATCCAGGATATATAAACAACTGAAAAAACTTCACACACACACACACACACACACACACACACACACACACAAAATAATAACCTAATCAATAATGGGCAAAGAAACTGAACAGACACTTCATAGAAGAAGAAATATAAATGGTCAACAAACATATGAAAAAATGTTCAACATCACCAGCAATGAGAGAAATGCAAATTGAAACTACACTGAGATTTCACCTCACTCCAGTCAAATGGCAAATATGAAGAATACAAGTAACAATAAATGTTGGCAAGGATGTGGGAGAAACGGTACACTCATATATTGCTGGTGAGACTGCAAATTGATGCAAGCACTCTGGAAAGCAATGCGGAGATTCCTCAGAAAACTTGGCATAGAAACACCATTTGACCCAGCTATCCCACACCTCAGCATATACACAAAAAACTTAAAATCGGCATACTACAGTGATGCAGCCATATCCCCAATGTTTTTTTTTCCTATCCATCAAAGTTTTATTGGATAAGAAAATTTTTTCATCTTATTTTTATTTATTTATTTTAGTTTGAATATCCATATATATTTTTACATATATATTCCTATGTGTTTATATACATTCTATACGTATGACTATAATAGAATATAATATAATGGCAACTAAATTCCCGATCATACATTTTCATATATATTCAGTTACATAATCATAAATTAAAACTAATACAAATTGTAAGCAACCATATCAAGAGAAAAATAGCTATATACAAATTTATATCACATCAATGTTTATAGCAGCTCAATTCACAATAGCTAAAATATAGAACCAATCTAGGTGCCCTTCAACAGATGAATGGATAAAGAAAATGTGAGATATATATATATATATATATATATATATATATATATATATACACACACACACACATACACACACGCAAATGGATTATTTTAAAAATACTTTTTATTTGTAGATAGACACAAAACCTTTATTTTATTTATTTATTTTTATATGGTACTGAGGATCAAACCCAGGGCCTCACATGTGCAAAGCAAGTGCTCTACCACTGACCTACAACTCCAATCCTATACAATGGAATATTACTTAGCCAAAAAGAATAAAACTATGGCATTTGCTGGTAAGCAGATAGAACTGGAAACAATCATGCTAAGTGAAATGAGCCAAACCCCCCAAACCAAAGGCTAAATGGTTTCTCTGATATGTGGTTGCTAACACACAGAAAAGGGATGTGAGAAAGGGATGTGCTCACTGTATTTCACAAAGGGAATGAAGGGAAGGGAGAGGGTGGGAGAGAATAGGAAACACAGTAGAAAGAATTGGACATAACTTTACTATGTTCATATATGAATAAATGACCAATGTAACTCCACATCATGTACAACCACAAGAATGGGAAGTTATTCTCCATGTATGTATAATGTATATAACTACATTCTACTGTCATGTATAACTAAAAAGAACAATTTTTTTAATTCTAAAGAGCTTTAATAAACAAGAACCCCAGTTTCCAAATGTCCATCAAAAAGGGAATGAATAATCAGTTCCATCAGTATTCGTAAGAAAACTAAAGGAAAAAAAAAAGAGGTGAGGAGATAAAGTTTGATAACCATTCTTCATAAGATAAAATACTGCTTCCTCAAATAATTCAACATCAATTAATGATATGAACAGACAAAAGGAAAATAACTGTACATATTTGCCTTAAATACAGTATTGGGTAATGCATGCTTGCTGAGCTATTTAGGAATGGCTTGCTAAAACATTGAAAAAATGAAAGACTTCATCCTTGTCGTAGACTGCTACTTCTGTGGAACATTCTGTACACATGACTGAGTGATAGATTTCTTCCACTTCTGTCTCTGCCTGTTCTACAGAATCTTCATGGTTAGACTTCATTTTCTTATAGCCCCGCCTCTTCTTCCTGTTCTCTGAGTTTTTATATCTTAGAACCTCCTCTTTGTTGACAGAACAATTCATCATGAACATTGCTCTATATTGAGTTTTGTAGGATTCATGCCTTTGGCAATCAAGGCACAGTGTCGTCATGCAAGCTGGGCAATTCAAAACAGCATCACTATTTGGAACAGGCTGTTGATGACGTGGCCTCTGTAACCCAAAACCATGATAACCCCTTCTCTGTGCATCAACCCAGGCCTGGTCTCTGTTATCTTTTTCAGGATCATATAGTAATTCATCATTTGTTGGAATCCTGTGTCATTTCTTCTTTTTCTTCTTGGTCACCTGTGCTGATTTGTCTTCATCCTCAGAATCTGAATCGAAATATATATCATCGTAATACTTCGCCGGAGCTATTCCAACTTTATTATTTCCTGAAGAAGACCCTGTTCCTAGAGAAGATAATTTGTCCTCCATTGTTTTTATGGTAGAATTCAATTCAGCTTCCATTTCTTTTTCAAATTCATCTTCACTAGATGACTCACTTTCTCCAGTAAGACATTCTCTGATGAGTTTTCGTTTTTGGTCTGGAGTTCCATGTAAAAGCACATCCACTTCATCTTTAGAGCTTGGGTCACAATGCTAGCAAAATGTAGAGGCAGAATTCAATCTCACGGTCTTTATGGATTTACGCTTGGCCCCCAGTGATTCCGGAAGAGCCCTCTTCCTGGCGCCTCCCCAAGGGCTGCGCGACCCCACCAGGAGCCCCTGTTGGCCTCCCACAACCGTAGTGGGGTGCTAGGGGCCCTGAGCCTCTGGGCCGACAGTCGGCACAAGCCAGGGAGGCGCAGCAAATAGAGGCGCTCAAAGGCTGAGCCTCAGCCCGAAACCTTAGGAGACTATGGTGGGTCGAAGGCCCACCTGCTCAAAGCTGGCTCCTCGTTGCTAGGCTCTTCAACCGCGTAGGGCAAGAACAAATTTTTTTAAAAAATAAAATTTCTGGGCTGGAGTTGTGGCTCAGTAGTAGGGCACTTGCCTAGCACATGTGAGGCACAGAGTTCAATCCTTAGCCCCACATAAAAAATAAGTAAATAAAGTTTAAAACAAAATAAAATTTCTCTGAAAGCAGACGGCTTCCAAGTACTGCTACCTTTGCCTGGGTCATGCATGTTCTTCTTTTATATGAGGACTTCAAATGCTTTCTGAGGGTATCTCCACCTCATTCAGGATTCTACAGGAGCCAAGTGCATGAAGCTGGAAGCACTGGTGGGTGCCTAGAGTTCCAGCTACTCAGGAGACTGAGCAGGAGGCTCACTTGAAACTAGGAGTTCAAGACCAGCCTCAGCAACACAGCAAGACTCCTATCTCAGTCAATTAAGTAATTAACTAAGAAATAAATAAATAAAAATAAAGAAGCCAAGTGCATGGGTGCTCCAGGATGGGGACAGCAAGGGAGTTGTTAGGAAGAGTCAGATTCTTCCAGAAGCTAACAAAAAGCAAGAATTAGGTCTCCTTTACTCAGTTCTCAGCCCTCACTATACTCCCAAGTTGTCGGATCAAAGGTTTGGAGAAGCTTATTTATTGGTTTGATACTGGAACCAGGTGTCAAGTAGTATGAGCATGATATTCTAAGGGATTCATCCTTTTTGCTATAGTTTGGATCTTGAATGTCCCTGCAAAGGTCCCCTTATTGAAAGCGTGGTCTACAACCCATCGTACCATTGGGAGGTAGTAGAACCTTCAAGAGGTGGGGCCAACTGCAAGAAAGTTACATCATTGGAGGCATGCTCTTGAAGGGTGATATTAGGACTCTGGCTTCTCTCTCTCTTTTTTTCTCTCTCTTTGCTTTTTGGCCACTATGACATAAAGGCTTCTTCTGTCACATGATCCTACCATGTTATACTATGCTGCCACAAGTCTAAAAGGAACAGGACCAACCATGGACTGAAACTTCTAAAACTATTACCCAAACAAATCATTTTTTGTTGTTGTTATTGATACTGGGGATTAAACCAAGGGGCACTTTACCACTGAGCTACATTCCTCAGTTCTTTTTATTTTGAAGTAGGGTCTTGCTAAGTTGCTTATCACCTTACTAAGTTGCTGAGGCTGGTCTTGAACTTGGTATCCTTAAGCCTTAGCCTCCGGAGTCACTGGAATTACAGGAGTATGCCAAACATAGCCCAATCTTTCCTTTATAAAGTTGATTGTCTTCAGGTATTTTGAATCAGTAACATAAAGCTAACATACCACATTATGTAACAGAATGAAGTCACAGATAGTATTAAAACAGAGGTCCACAAACTATAGTCTGTAAGTCCTATTTGGTTTCTAGTCTGTTTTTTTGTAAATAAAATTTTACTTGAATATAGCCATGCCCATTTGTGTTTGCATTGTCCAAGCTAGGCTGCTTTCTTGTCATATTGGCAAAGTTGAGCAGAGGCCACATGGTCCACAAAGCTCTTTTTTTCTTTTTTAAGAGAGAGAGAGAGAAGAGAATTTTTAACTTTTATTTTTTAGTTTTCGGCAGACTCAACATCTTTGTTTGTATGTGGTGCTGAGGATCGAACCTGGGCCACACGCATGCCAGGCAAGCACGCTACCGCTTGAGCCACATCCCCAGCCCCGCACAAAGCTCTTTATGGAAAAAAAAAATTTTCCCCCTTCTTGCTTTGGAGGAATTTAGGTTTTTTTTTTTTCTGGAGATTGAACCCAGGGGCAATGAACCAGTGGACCACATCCGCATCCCTTTTTTGTATTTTATTTAGAGACAGGATCTTGCTGAGTTGCTAAGTGCCTTGCTTATCTGCTGAGGTTGGCTTTGAACTCATAATCTTCCTGCCTCAGCCTCCCAAGTCACTGGGAGTACAGGTGTGTGCCAGCTAGAAATTAAGATTTTTGTAATGTAATCTTAAGAGACCAGTGAAGGATGTAAAGTAGAATAAATAGATCAGGGGAAGAGAAACTGGAAACTATGATCTCTTTCCTGGAAAAGAGGCTGTGAAGTAATTCAGTGTGTAATGGGTCCAAGGTTGGTGCTAATTGCTGTGGGCAAAAAGCCAAATATACACAGTAGAACATATAGAAAGAGGAAAGGTACCCTCTATCACATGTGAAGTAGAAGGATAGGGATAGCAACCAGAACTGAAAAGCAGCTAATGCCAAATAGAAGAAACGGTTAATGTAAAACATTTTATACATGAATTTACATGTATCATGCCTGTATTATTATTATTTTCTAATCATAGAAATGGCTGAATTATAAGCATGGGTCATCCCAACCATAATACCCACACAGATTACCAGATGCAAGAGCAGAGAGGGGATCTGTATTCTGAATTTCTTGATGTTACTCAGTTTCCTTCTCTGGTTGTCTCCCCAACCCTCAGAGTTACAATTTGATTCTTCCTAAAAGAGAGCTTCCTTGTTCTTCCTATATGAAAGTAGCAGCTACAATAGCTTTCTTCATAGTAGCAATAGGACCTGCAGAGGGGAACTGGGGTGATCACCATAGACATAGTGCATTTACCCAAGATACCACACAGGATTAGCCAGAAGAGCTCCTCCACTAAGTATATCAGTCAAGTTCCCAGAAAGCAATTGAAAACAAAAATATCAGTCTTGTGTTAATGTATATAGGTACGTCACCAAGGGTAACTCTTCATTACCCACCAGGCAAAGAACTTCTGTCCCTTTCAGATGACTTCCCTTCATATTCAGTGGCTCTAGCATCCCCTAAGCTACTAACTGGCCACCTGCTTGCCAGAACTTCACTGTACCCTCTGTTTTCTGCTCTGACAGCCCTCCCCAGCTGCAGAAGGGTCTGGCAGTTTCTGCAGCAGAATGTGGTAGTGTCTACTTACTAAGGCAACAATAGCAGCAACAGCAATGACAATATTTAAGACTGGGTCCTCAAAATTCCAAATGGGAAAATGCCAAGATAATAGGCAACAATTTTCAAGGACAAATTTCTCTCTGGTCCAGATCATGGATGTGAAGGAGAAAAGGAGGGCAGACTGGCCAATTTTTTCTGGCTCTGCAGTCTGCTCCAGCTCCCACAAATGCTCATCCAGATAGATAAATGACAGCAAGCAAGCCTAGGATAAGGGGAGGCTTTGAGCCATGCCCATCTAAGGCAAGAGAGACTCTCATGGAGACAGAGCCACAAATCCAGACTGGGAGTCCAGCTGACAATGTGCATTTTTCTCTGCTCTTATAGGTTTCTCTCCCTAGACCCTTTGTCAATCACACTTGAGCACCACACCACACTACCTGGCCAGGGATGGCACACAGATGCTGGCTTCAGAAGCTGGGCAGGACCAGCCTAGCCTACCAGTTCCTACAGCAGATGTTGAATGGTGAAGGTAAGTAGGTGGGAAAAGTCTTGATTCTGAAATCCTCCTCTGTCCTCTAAACGAAAGCGATGGTTTAAAAATTAAAGCATTACACATAGTATTTGGGTTCATTTTGACAAAATCATATATGCAAGGAATTTTATTTCAGTCCCCATTCCTCCCTACAATTCATGCTCCCATTCTCCCTCTTCCTTTCCCCATTTTCCCTTTTCTACTACACTATACTTCCTTTCTTCTCCATATACATGAAGGTGAAATTCAAAAGGGATATTCTTGGTGTTACTGAAAGGTCATGTCAATGTGTGTGGACTGGAAAGCCATAGAAGACTTTAAAGAGGCAGGAGACCACTGGGTACTCTGGGCTGGATAAGTCAGCTGGCTGAGATGGGAGGACAAGAAAGAGAAAGTAAGGCAGCCTTCCTGGGAAGCCTGTCCCCAGACCCTCCTAGCAATTGGGGCTATGGCTGTCAGTACCATGTGCACATACTTGCTCCTTCGATCCTTCACAAGGATTCCTGGGAAAGGGATGGCAATAGCCTTACTTCAGAGATGAGAAAATGGACTCGGGTTCAGTGTACTGCCTAAGGACATACAGCTTTTACGTGGTAGGGCTAGGATGTGAACTCCAATGTATCTCTTCCACATCCGCAGCTTTTTAAGTTTCAGTATTCTCTCTGTTCACTTCTGAACTTTGGGAAAACCCGATCTTTAATGCATTTTCCCAGTCAAAGCCTTACCTAAAACAAGGTCTCCTTTTGATATTTCACTACAAAGAAGAGGTACCACGCTGACAAAATAAGAGCTCTGTCCTGAGTCCTGAGTTCCCCTTGGCCTTGGTACTCTTCACCCTGTGCCATCTCTCCCAACCATTAACCCTACTAAGCCCTCAGTTACTCAACTCTGGGATCATCCTCCCTTAAACCTTTGTCAGAGCATCCTTCAATCCCAAGCAGCCCTCCTATGAGGACTTGCCTATTGCTCCTGTTTCCACTGTTCCTCAATCCATCATCTCTCACTACCAACTTTGGACCCCAAAACTGTGTTCCTCTGTCATAAAATGTTGCTGGCCTGAGGAAAGAGCAGCTGGATTCCTCTGAAGGGACCAAGAGCCATCAGAACCTGCCAAGAACCCTGAGCTCAAGATACTTAGTAGTTTCCTTCCTGACACCAGTGATTTCATAGGCACTGAATTGAAAGACCCTAGCCCAGTTAGCCCAATTACCTAAGGCCAAGATATTAAACCAAGATACCAGGCACACCATAAACAGGTTCAGGCGCCAGGCATGCTTTCCGGACAACCGGTTGAAGAACAGAGCACCCGCATCCTGAGGCATGAATGAATAAACCGGAACAGATAAGCAGGAACAGAAAGAATAGAATGCAGACCTGTGGTTTTTTTGGAATGCAGACCTGTACCCCCTAGGTGGCCTATATGCTAGATTTAAACAAACCAATAAGAAATCTGTTGCTTCCCGCGCGCGCAAAACCTGTGCTAAACCCTATAAAAATCTCTGTATCCCCAAGCCCGGTGTGCCAGTTCACCAAAGCTCCAGCTGAGGTTCTGCTGGGCACCCGCAGGCGCCTGTGTCCCAATAAACCAACCTCTTGCTTTTGCAGCCAGTGTTTCGTGTGATTCTCCTTGGACAGGGATACGGGGGTCTTTCAGAATCACCTGCTGATATTTTCTATAGGAAATTCCAAAGGCAGAAGTCACTTGGGCTTATAGGAACAGAAGAATTACCAGTACTAAACCCATCAGGCATTTAGACCTGGGAAGGGGATTCTATGTAGAAATGGATGAACTGTGACTATGAAGTAGAAAAGTAGTTGCTTGCTATCAATCACATACAAAACTCTGACTCAAGTCTTTGTAGTTAAAATGCAGGTGAAGTGGATTAGAGTCCCCAAATACTTTCATATTATTCCTGAAGTTCCTGTACCTCTTTTGGAATTTTGGTTATAAGAGAAAAAAAAGGATTGTCAGTCACATACTACCTTTAAAAACTCAGGGTAAGTCATAAGTTCTAGAGGCTAACTGATATATACAATGAGCTCACACACAGGCCAGAATTTAAAGGGTAAATTCAGAAAAAAAGAGGTAAATTCAGAAGCAGTATCCAAGATGTCTGCAAAAACTTCACAATTAAATCTTGTTGATGGGAAAGTGACCATTGGAACATCAAATGATATACAACTTTCAGTAATGAAGAAAGGTGAAATACCAAACAGGAAATAAATGAAGGCCAAGGCCACTTTTCTGTCAATTACAAACTCAGAAGCTCATTCAGCATCACAGGATCACTTGCCCAGGTTGATTTGGAGCAGGCCTCACTTAGACCTGGGCTGCTACACCATTTACTGCCCTGCTCTGTGTTGTAATAGACCAAGAAGCAAACATAGGAGGTTCTACATCAGCACAAGTAGCTGTTTCTCACCTTTCCTTCCAAAGTAAAGGGTAGAGACTCAGCCGGGAGGCAGTGACATATCCGTCCAAGTCCAGCCATTCCAAAGAGCCACTACCACCAAAAGTCTTTTCAACCTAGAACAAGATAAAAGGCACAGTGAGGCTACCATCCTCCTCCTCAGCCCAACAGAATAAGACAAAATTCAAGCTTCTCCCTTAAAAAGAAGAAACAGAAAAACCAGAAGCAACCTGGAATTCACAGCCATACTGACCTGCCTTTGCTGCCGCAGGATAGCAGCCTCTGCTGGGTGGTAGAATCGAAACTTTTGTGCTTTCCCCAGTGTTATAAGAGCTCCTACAGTGCAGACAAATGAAAATTTCTTTCTTTCTTTCTTTTTTAAAAATATTTTTCAGTTGTAGTTGACACAATACCTTTATTTTATTTATTCATTTTTTTTAATGTGGTGCTGAGGATTGAACCCAGGACCTCGTATGTTGCAGGTGAGTACTCCACCATTGAGCCCCAGCCCTAGCCCCAGACAAATGAGTATTTCATCAGAGCACATTTAAGTATATAAATTGTGCAGGATACTCTTTTGTGAGATAAAATAATGCCCTCAACAAGTTGATGCTTTAGCTGAGATATGTATTAATTATATACCTCACAACATAGGTATTGAATTAATAAACAGGAGGAGCTATTGTCCTCTTTTAACAGAAAGCAAGGAGTTCCAGGTGGAATAGTCAAAAATAGCTTCACTAAAGAAGCAGAAACTAAAATTCAGTTTCAAAATACAAAACAACTTGGATAGATTAATAATACTAGTGACAATAATAAAAATAGTAATAATGACAATGGCACTCTTTACTAAGTGCCAACTACTCTGTTAAGAACCTTACAAGGTGGGGCTGGGTTTGTGGCTCAATGGTAGAGCGCTTGCCTGGCACATGTGAGGCAGTGGATTCAATCTTTAGCGCCACATAAAAAATAAATAAATAAAATAAAGGTATTGGGTTCATCTACAATTAAAAAAAAAAAAAGAACCTTACAAGTATAGGGTTTCTTCAATCTTTGGAATCCTATTGTTATCTCCATTTTATAGATGAGGAAATAGAGGTTCAGAGACTTTCCTAAGGACACAGAGCTAACAAAACACAGGCAAAAATTTCAGAGAGTCATTCTTCACTCTCAGGTCCTAGGTTGAAGAGAATCGTGTTAGGAAATCTTCAGGTCTTTGGGTGCAGAAGGTAGGTGATTCATCTTTAAAGCCTGCATCACTGAACTCTCTGGACCCTTAAGATATTGAGGTTGCTCCATCCTTCATCCTGGAATAAACAGGGCTGTAGACAGTCCTACCTTGGGTCAGACGGCAGGAGGCAGTGACCTCACGGCCATTGACTGTGCAGCGTGCCCCCTGAGCAGGCCGGAGAATGACTGCCCCACAGGTGTTGGTGATTATGCAGTGGTCTCTCTCAATCAACGGACCCTGAAGGACTACAGAAGGGTGGGGGGGGTCACTTGGGTGGGTGGGGGTGAATCCAGGGAAATACCTCCTCCAGTCTTATTATGGGATCTGAATCCAACATCCATAAGATTTCCTATCATAAAAAGAAAGGAAGAGCTACCACCTCAAACCACCAGATCTAAAATCCTACCACTGTGTAGATCTTTAAAAGTGTAGTAACAGAGAAGCAGATCCTTAATACTTCAACGATTCTGTTCCTTTAAAAACAACATCAGATTCCTCTGAAGAAATATTTTAGGCACAAATAACTGCCACAAGTGTCAGGCCCCTGTGTGATGTTACTTACCAATGTCCTGTTCTTGGTCCGAGTCAATCCTTCCAATTTTTGTTATCCCCTCCTGTGGGGGCAAAGAAAACTATTTTAATAAAACAAAAAGTGATGCTTAGCCTTAAAGGAGAGTCCATTCTTGAGTATTATCACTATCTTCACATTCCTATTCCAATTTTTTCTGTACCACTTCTCAGCTTTGGTGTAGGTGGTTCTGACTCTCTGCCTACCTCACACTGCAGCCCAGAAAGCCCAAAAGAAGGTGGTGAAGGTGGTAGACAACACAGTTCTAGCTATTTGCAAAGTTGGCAAACTTCTTTATATCCTATAAGTTGAAGCTAAGGAATAGCCAGTACTGGCCAGATATTCTCTAGTCAGAGGAAGTAGGCATAAAGTATAGCTTTCCCCAAAAAAGGGCTAAGATTAGTGAGGTCCAATTTTGATCAGTAAATCTTAAAGAGACAAGCTTTTAATGAAGATTTATGGAAACATAGAATTATTACCTTCTTGGTCCACAGATGAAGTTTAACACACACCAGATTCTAAGAAGGATAAAGCACAAATAGGAAAAAAGCACCTCTAGAATCAAAAAGAACTGAAAGAGAATATAAAAGAGTAGAGGGAAATTGGAGTTAGTATAAACAAATCATGGGTTAATATTAGACAAGACAACCTTCTAGCCCTTGGAGTATGGCAAATCTGCTTATGACCACAGAGCTCTATCTGGAGCAGGCAACAACGGCAACAAAGATACTAAATTTTAGATGCATCTTTATCATTTACTGAATAACCATTCCCAACATTCCAGGTATTATGCTGAGTGCTTTACAGACATCATCTTATTTCACTCTTTAACAACCTAAAACAGGTACTATTGTCTCCTTATAGAGGAGAAATCTGAAACTCATAGTGAATAAATTGCCCAAGAAACCAACATATTCAGTAGGAGAGTTATGACTAGAATTTAGATCTTCCTTGATCCTATACCCTTGCTTTTTTGGACTCACATACCACCTTCTCAGTAACATGTTTTCATAGAGACTAGAGTTATCTAGAAGGCTTCATTGTCAGCAGCAAGAAAGGGAGCTCCCCCAAAATAACTTGTGAGAAGAAAGAATTTTGGAGGTAAAGAATTTTGGAGGTACCTCTGCCTCTCCTCCCTGCATACACACAGCCAGAAACCAGCCTTTTCCTGCTCAGCAACTGAGGATCCAATGAGTCAATGGATGATAGTCCTCACATACTGTCTTTTTAATTTACTTTTTAAATTTTGTTTGTGGTACTGGAAATTGAATGCAAGGGCACTCTCCTACAGGGAAGAAACTACCAAAAAAAGATTTTGCATCTTAGATAACAAGGACCTGTTTGCTGCTCCTTCTGCCTCTTTATGCAGGGAACAATTGGCAGCAAAACAGCCAGTACAAAGTATCAGTAACCTATGCTCTACCCATCCTTTCTTAAGCCCCATCTCTATCCAAAGGAGCTTTTCAAGGTGACCCAAGGGAAAAAGGGATTTCAGGGCATCACCAGGAACTAGTTCCAGATCTCTAATTAAGTTAGCAAAGCAAATAAAAATACAGAGAATTTTGCTGGGCATAGTGTCACACCTATAACCGGCTGTTTGGAAGGCTAAGGCATAAGGATCACAGTTAAAGGCCAGCCTCACAATTTAGCAAGACCCTATCTCAAAAGTAAAAATTTTAAGGGTCTGGGGTTGTGGCTCAGTGGTAGAGCAATTTCCTAACACATGTGGGACACTAGGTTCAATCTAATAAATAGATAAATAAAATAAAGATACTGTATTCATCTACAAAATATTTAAAAAATATTTAAAATTTTTAAAAAGTTATTTTTTTAATTCTAAAAAGGGGTTGGAGTGTGGCTTAGTGGTGGAGTACTGTACTTGCCTATCATGCACAAGCCCCTGGGATCCATCCCCAATACCATAAAACAACAATAACAACAAACAGACAATCTTGGTCCATTACAATTAAATCATTACCTAAATCAAGATCTAAATAATTTTTTTTAAAAAAGAAAAAGAAAATGAAAAAAAATGGGTACATAAAATGCAGAAGTGCCAAGATTTAGAACCAATCTAAAATATCATCATATAGGTCCAATGCACCAAGGGAGCAAAACCCTCACTAGATGCCAAATAAAAAATCAGCAATCTGATAATCACTCATCTCCAGGACAATTCAATTCAGCAGACATGGCCCTTCACCCTCTGATGCTACCCTAAGCTTTCCTACTTAACATCTAACTTCATCTGCATACTCCATATCCAATCAATACATCAGATCAGTTCTACTCAGTGACCAGTTTAATGGATCTGATCTCCCCCCCCCATCTCCTATGGTTCAGGACTAATAAATGGATTTATGTCCTTTGGGTATTTAGATTTATTGTTAAGATAAAAGGAGACAGCCACTTCTGCCTGAGGCATTTCACTGAAACAATTTATGCTCAGTATGCCAGAAAAAAAGCTACTTTACCTTTTAGACACACAGCCTCTGCTAACTTCCCTAGGGGCTTATCCTAAGAACACAGATGAGCTTTCATATGCACTATAGTAGCAGAAACCTAATTTCTCCTGGGATAACAGAAGCATTACATATCTCCATCAACTCTTTGTTCTTTTTAAATGTCACCTGGGGATAAAGAGAATAGAAAATGGATTTTTCAGTGAGCACAGGGAGGGTGACTGGTGAAATGTGTTCTTCTACCCATATGAACTGTCCTCCAACAGAAGGACATATTTGCAAGGACACAGCATAAGTCTCTATCTACCATGGGTCAGTAACTTTTTTTTTTTTTAATGATGCAATGTGTTTTTTGACACAATACCTTTGTTTTATTTATTTATTTTTTAATGTGGTGCTAAGAATGAACCCAGTGCTTCACACAGGCTAGACAAGTGCTCTACTACTGAGCTATAATCCCAGCCTGGGTCATTAACTCCTAAAACTACTTCATTTCAATCTCCAGGATATATAAAGAACTCAAAAAACTTGCCACCAAGAATAAATAAATAAATAAATAAATAACCCAATCAATAAATGGGAAAAGGAACTGAACAGACACTTTACAGAAGAAGAAATATGAATGGTCAACAAATATATGAAAAAATATTCAGCATCTCTAGCAATGAGAGAAATGCAAATTGAAACTAAGATTTCATCTCAATCCAGTCAGAATGGCAGTTATCAAGAATATAGACAGCAATAAGTGTTAGTGAGGATGTGGGGGAAAAGATTCACTCATACATTGCTGGTGGGGCTGCAAATTGGTTCAACCACTCTGCAAAGCAGTGAGATTCCTTAGAAAACTTGGTATAGGGCTCAGGAGACGGAGGCAGGAAGATCGTGAGTTCAAAGGCAGCCTCAGCAATGGCAAGGTGCTAAGCAACTCTAAAAGATCCTGTCCCTAATAAAATACAATATAGGACTGGGGATGTGGCTCAATAGTTGAGTGCCACTGAGTTCAATCCCTGGTACCAAAAAAAGAAAACTTAAAATGGAACCATGATTTGACCCAGTTATCCCACTTCTCGGCTTATACCCAAAGGATAAAATCAACATACTACAGTGATACAGCCACATCAATAGCCAAGCTATGGAACCAACCTAGGTGCCCTTCAACAGATAAATGGATAAAGAAAACGTGGTATGTATACACAATGGAATATTACTCAGACATAAGAAGAATGAAATTATGGCATTTGCTGGTAAATGGATAGAACTCAGGCTATCACGCTAATTGAAATAAGCCAGTTCCAAAAACCAAAGGCTGAATGTTCTCTCTGATATGTGGATGCTAATCCATAAAAAGAGAGGATAGGAAAGTAGAAGTTCATTGAATTAGACAAAGGGGAATGAAGGGAAGGGAGGAGGATGAGCATAGAAAAGACAGTAGAGTGAAATAGATATCACTTCCCTATGTTCGTGCATGATTACATGACCAGACTACATCATGTTCAACCACAAGAATGGGATCAAAGTTGAAATGAGTTGCATTCCATGTATATAAAATATGTCAAAATATACCCTACTGTCATGCATATTTAAAAAGAACAAATAATAAATGTACTCTAAAAAAACTACTTTATTTATGGCCTGGGGCTGTAGTTCAGTAACACAGCACATGTAAGAGGCACTAGGTTTGGTCCTTACTACCACATATAAACAAACAAACAAACAAACAAATAGAATAAAGGCATGCTGTCCATCTACAATTACAAAAAAATTTAAAAAGAAAATTACTTCATGGGGTTGGGGTTGTGGCTCAGTAGTAGTGCACTTGCCTGGCACTGAGTTCACTCCTAAGCACCTCATGAAAATAAATAAATAACATAAAGGTACTTTGTTCATTTAACTAAAAAATATTTAAAAAACAAAACAAAAAAACCTACTTCATTTAGAAATGATGATCTGGCTTCCAGGTGTCAAAAAGCCATGTGAGCCAGTTCTTATTTTAAGGGCCTTAAATTCACTATATTTTTCCTAGATAGATGTATATCATCCTCCTTACCACCCCATTACAATTTTTTGGGTCTTCCTACATCCTTTAAGCTTCATTTATCTACTTTCTCTGTGCCCTCTTCTTTTCTAATATAAGTCAAATGGAGGTATATTTTTTGTTCATTTAGGAGTTGAATAAAGTAGGAAAGTATCAGAAGAAACTTTTAGGTTTTCCAAATTCCCCCATCTTTGAGCAGCCTGTATCTGTAGAATTTTAGAGCCCATACGGGCCACCAAATGCCAAAGTCTGGCTGGGCACAAAATAACCCAGCCACCACGAGGCACTTGTAGGTTCAAACAGGAACTACTTTATTGCTCGAACTCTCACCGGCACTCCACGCGCACTGCCGCACTGCCCGCACACTGCCCGGGAACTCTCCCCCCCTCCACCAGGCTCCGTGAGAACTCACCAGGAACTCAAAAGTAGCAGACGCCCAAGGCAGCAGGAGCTGCCCTATTGCCGGACAGCAGGGATCTATATACAACTGAATACACAGCCTGTTTCAATCCAGCATCATTCAGTCACAGCAATTATACACAGCTTAACTTAATTATCATCATCTTAATGGCTCGCTGGTGTCACCTCTCACTCACTCCTTCTGGCAAAATGCCATGCTCTCAAGTCTTGCTATGTTGCCCGGGCTGGCCTTGAACTCCTGGACTTAAGCATTTTTCCTGCCTCAACCTCCCAAGTAGCTGAGACTACAGGCACATACCACATACCACCATGTCCAGCTTACACCGAAAAGTATTTTTAAAGTTAGGATTTCACTTTCCAAGACTGTGTACCCTGTGCTTCAAAAATCCAGAAAGAAATAAAAGAAGAATCATCATTTTTGTTTTAAAACAAGGAAATAAAGACACAGAAAACAGAAGCAAGTTTATAACAATAACACTAGCAGTTGAAAAACAAATGATTTTTCTGATGTCCAGTATTACACTCCATTACACAAAATCAAAGCAGAACACAATTTGTTAGCAAGACTGGTCTCCTGAGAGCAAATCTGAAGGCAGCTCTGTGGCATCTGTCTCAATTCATAGAAACATGGCTGCTACCTCCTTCACTTCTGGGGCCAAGCTCAGGAAGAAAAGAGGTGCACTAGTCTCCTCACCTTGAGGTAGTACAGCACAACACCTGTGCTAAGCACATCGTCCTCCAAGGCCATCATGTGTGGCAAACTGCAGTCAATGACCACCCCAGCACTCCTCTTGTTGATGTCCACACTGTAATGTTCCAGGAGGGCCTGCCAGTCATTCCACTTCTGGGTCCATTCTTTAGTCAGCTTGTCTATCTGCAGAGGCACAGGAGGTGATCTTAGACAGTTGGTGTGGGAAACAGACTAAAGGTAAAAGGTTACTATGAAATGTTTCCCCAGGGTATTAATTTCTCATGATCCCCACTGTTACTATTCAAAGCCTCTCAGAAGCCCTTGTACCTCTTCCAACTATGAGCTCTCTGTATTGTTTTCAAAAAGCAAGTCTTACTTTTTTTGGGAGGGGGGCATACCAGGGATTGAACTCAAGGGCACCCAACCACTGACTTCCTCAGCCCTATTTTTTTGCATTTTATCAGAGACAAGGTCTCACTGAGTTGCTTAGCGCCTCGCTAAATTGTTGAGGCTGGCTTTGAACTCTTGATCTTTCCCCTCCCCTCCCCCACTCCCCTGTGCCCAATCCAATCCCTCCCCCCTTTTTTTTAAGATACTGGGAATTATACCAGAGTCTTGTACAGCAAATGCTCTTTCACTGAACTATACCATCAGTCCTTTTAAAATTTCATTTTGAGACAGGGTCTCCCTAAGTTGTCCAGGATGGCCTCAAATCTGTGATCTTTCTGCCTCAGCCTCCTAAGTAGCTGGGATTACAGGTGTGCACCAGAGTGCCAGCTCCCATTTATTTCTATGTGATCCATATTTGGGATTCCTTTCATGATTTACTGAAGCCAGGAGAAAGAGATAAGCCTAGGTAGATAGGTAAATGGGCACCAGGGAAACTTCCTGGGCAGCAGAGCACAAACAGCAGCTGCAGAACTTTTCTGAGAAACTGCAAGAAAGTTATTTTTAAATGGAGACATACATGACCTGGAGTCCATTTTCTAAAGAAGGAAAAATGCCTGGTCAATATTTTATGCTGAGAGCCATTGCCAAGTAGGAATGACGCATCGAAATTTCCTTGCCAGCGTACTCCATGTTGCTTAGAGGAAGGACTCGTGGAAATGGACTTGCCTTGGACATTTGCTGTGACACTGCAATGTATGTTTGAGAAAGGTGACCCTGCTCAAGGATCAGGGTGGATCCGGGTTTAGGGAGGATCCAACTGGATTAGAGCGGATCCAGGTTTAGGGTGTATCCTGCTGGGAATAGGGAGTATCCCACTCCTTGGGTTTAGGGCGGTTCCAGATTTAATGTGTACCCTGCTGGGAATAGGGCGTATCCTGCTGCCTCAGGCACGCCCTCCTGATCCTTGAGTTCCCATTGAGTTCTCGTGGGATTCAGAAAGTATTTGGGATTCAAAGCCTGGTGGAGTACGTGAATTTTGGGGCAGAACGTGAATTTCCCCAGAACGTGTTTGTAGAGGGCCTGTGTGAGTTCGGGAATAAAGAATTGCTGTTTGAATCTACAAGGCTGTGAGTGGCTCGTGATTTTGTGTCCAGCCAGACTGCAGCAATTTTACTTTACCATATTATATTACATTGTATTATTTTATTTTATTGGTGCCAGGGATTGAACCCAGAGGTGCTTAACTACTGAGACCACATCCCAAGCACTTTTTATGTTTTATTTTGAGACAGGGTCTTGCTAAATTGCTTATAGCCTTGCTAAGTTTCTGAGGCCAGCTTTGAAATTTGCAATTCTCTGCTTCAACCCCTCCCCATATACATCTGGCACTGGTCAATAATTTGGTTGGACTAAAGGCTGCATGGATACCTCATGGACACCTAGTGCCTTACCCAGAATTGGTCAGGTGGCTGAGTTCCTTAAACCTAGAGATCCATATAAATCCTAGGCAATAGCCATTCATTGACAACCTTCTCAGGTTCCCTTCCATTTGAGGGAGCCGTGCTTTACTTTGCTTTAATAAATTCTTATACTTTGCTTTTATCTGTTGCTATTTGTGAATCTCATTATTTGAATTTGTGAGACAAAGAACCCACCCAATTCCATGCTCTATGTTACACTAAGTAGGGCGCTCAAACCTGCTTCTAGAGATAATACTGGGTCCACCCACCTTTAATTCATTTCTCAGAATTAGTTCCTTCAGATTTTCATCCTTTTCATCATTTAATGAACTGAAGTTCCTCTGCACAAACAAAAAGAAAAAGGTGCTTCGATGTTTTCCTGATGAACTATAGGTAGTTCTACACTTACACTTGCAGAAGAAGGTACAGGATAAAGGAAATACTTCATCATTAAAATCAGAAATAAATCAGGAGTCTAAGAATTTGGAATCATACAAAGAAGAAGAATTCAAAGAAAATTTTCTCTAGAACCCTATTCTCCATGTCTGCCCACACACAGAACAAGGGCCATTGGGAAAATGCCCTATGGACAAGAGATGATAAAGCCAGATGATGCCCAAACCATATGAAGTTACATAGAGAAATCAGTGTAATCCCCCCTTCTATCTTTGTTCCATGAAATGTCAACTGTGAACATGGAGTATAGCAGGTCCCATGCTAAGCAGAAAAAAAGGGGACTTGGGAAGAGAAACTCATTTATTTTAAACATGGAAAAGTTTTGATTGCCTGTATACCAATTCAAAGCTCAGCAACATGGCTTTCAGTCTCTCAATCTCTTCCCTGAGTTCTCTGATGAGCTTCACATTTGCATCCTGAAACACAGAGGACTCGGTCACTGATTGATATCAGGCCCTAACCAGTTATGAAATGCTAAAAGCAACTGCTTAGAAGAAGTAGATTAACTCCTTCGGAGTAATTTCTAGAGCAATTTTTCTCAAAGTACAGTCCCAAAACCAGCAGCAAGCAACTTCATCTAAGAACCTGTTAGAAATACAAATTATGGCCTCAACCCAGATCTACTAAACCAGCAATTCCTGAGGGCTGGGGCCCAGCTGTATTATGGCAAACTCTCCAGGTGACCCCCAACCCCACCCCAACACTGAGGATTGAACCCAGGAGATTTCTACCACTGAGCAACATTCCCAGCCCTTTAAAAAAAATTTTTTTTTTTGGAAACAGGGTCTAGCTAAGTTGCTGAGGCTGGTGGAATTTGCAATCCTCCTGGCTTAACCTCCTGAGTAGTTGGAATTACAGGCATGCACCACTGCACCTGGCATCCAGGTGATTCTTGTACTTATTACCCCGGAGCAGGAGATCAGGAAGGTAACATAAACCAGGTAACATAAACTTGATACCTGCCTAATTACATTGCCTAATACAATATTCTCCATATGGGCTATATATGTCTGGTCCCTGTTGTGAACCCTGCTCTGGAAGTTTTCACTAAAATTGTAAAGGAGGTAAGAAACATTTGGAATATTCTTCTGATTGTGTAGCTCTCATAAAATATAAATTTCTTACACTCCTTTTAAAATCCAAAACAGAGAAGTCATTGCAACTTATATAGAGAAAAACAAATAAAAACTCACAAGACATAAATTAACATCAATTTAAAATAAAAATAGTTTTAAATGCCCTTTCTTAGGGTAGCAATGGAACACTAAGGATCTTAAGAGGACTGGCTTTAAATAAATATTTAAAATAAATTATCCATAAAACATTACCGACTGAAGTAAGCAGAGCAATAAAAGAAGAGTACGGTATTACATTAGAAGAAAGAAGTTTATTCTCTTATCATTTGGAGAACAAGTCTGACAGGTGAATACAAAGAAAAAGAAACAGTAACATCAATAACTATATCAGACTGGGACTTCCAATGAAGTTCTCACCTCATTTACCCGTGGCTTATTGATGATGTTTTTGGCATTCGATGCATACCTCAGTGTGCTCATGGTCTCACTGTAGCTAGTATGTGCAGGAGATACAGCTAAGGTAGAAAGAGAAAGTTGAAAATAGATGAAGCCCTTCCAATCTAATCCTTAACACTCACCTTGATGCTAACGCCCATAAAAGCATAAGATCAATATTGGCATCAGATTCACCATTTTAGGTTGGGAGCCATTTTATCTAGTGTCTCCAAAGTTTGGATTCTGGGACAATGTGCTTAACTTCCTGTAAGAACATGTGTCTGCTAAACGATCAATCCCACCCCCGGTTATGACACAACCCCTAAGCAGCCTATGAAATTCCTCTTGTGGGCCAGAAAGCTGCTCTGTCAGTGCCGACTGGCTGCTGCTCTCCTCGAGGGACAACATTGTAGGTTTGATTCATGCTACTAACAATAAATCTCTTGCGTGAGATTCCAGTGCGTGGTGTGGTCCTTGGACTTTGCATGGACTCTGCAAGTGTCCTCTCAACCCATGCTGTATAAGAGACCCTTGAGGGAATGAGGAACATGAGTGTGCAGGCCCTTTTCTGAGGCAAAGCAGTGCCAACACAGAAGCAGCTCCAGCATCCCACTTACTAGCAACCATGATAGTTTTCGAGTTGCCACCAAGGCTGTCCTTCAGCAGCCAGGTCAACACAGAGTCTCGGTAGGGGATATAAGACTGTCTCTGGGAGGATCCCCCTCTACTGCTGGTTCCAGGAGAGACAGGAATCCCACTGTCACCACCAGTGTTGGCTGTGCTCTTGAGGCTCTGACAGCTGCTGAACACTTGCGAGTTCTGGGCTTAAGAGATTAAAAAAAAAAAATGAAAAATATATATATATATATGAAAAAGAAAGAATTATGAAGCAAATTCATAAAAACAAAACAACCATTGGAGAACATATACTTAGCAATCATACTTCCTAATCCCTTTTTGCATGATAAGATGCCTTAAATTTGAGCTCTAAATCAGACTTTAAATTCCTGATATGGATTATTTGAGTGACATAATTTTTTAGTGTCTCCTATTTTTGAAATGATAGTGTTGTAACTGTGACCACATCATTTTCTAAGATCACAGGTACTTATCATGCCCCAAACCAAAAGGTAACCTTATCAAAAAGAACCTTATAAATGTCTCCCCACTCTTCTGGGGGGAGGGTAGTACTGGGGATTAAACCCAGAAGCACAGTATCACGGAGCTACATCCCCAGGCATTTTTTTTTTTTAATTTTGAGAATGGTCTTGCTAAGTTGCTCAGGTTGGCCTCAAACTTACAATTCTCTTGTTTCAGCTATCTACCATTTTTTTTTTATAGTTATAGATAGTCAGCATGCCTTTATTTATTGTTTAGGTTGTTTTTTTTTAATGCTGTGCTAAGTATTGAACCCAGTGCCTCATAAATGCTAGTCAAGGGCTGTGTCACTGAGTTACAACCCAAGCCCTATCTACCAATTTTTACAAAATGAAAACAATATGAGTTATTTTCTAAAATCTCCCTCCCACTCCAATCACCTCATCTGCCAGCAATACCTAAGGTGGAAATGACGATTCCCAGAGTCACAAGCGACTTGTTGATATTGGCTCCTTCAGTAATCCGGTCTTTACAATAACTGGGATCTGCTTTTTCACTAAAACACAATGAGGAAAACAAAAACAAAAGCAGACAAAAAACTACCCTTATAATATTATTTAAAGATAATATTCATTATGCTGTATATCATGTTGTAAAAGATCCACATAATACATTCCTTTTAGAATTCAGCTCCAGAAAAGGAGGTAACCATCTTATAATGAACTGGCCTCCTAATTTTTAGGCAATAAAATAATTCACTATATTTCTATTTTTGTCTACCATATCACTTTAAGCTAAATGTAATGTTCATTTAAAATAATGATATTAGCATAGTTTTTTTTGGTTTATTCTCTTCTGCTCTATCTTTATTGTTTTAAATTTACATATTAATGGATTTATAGTATCTTTGTCATTAACTATCAACTGTCTCAAATTTCCTTTAAATTAATGATAAATATTAAAAATTCACAATTCAGATTGGCTGATAAAGTTTCTTTCAGAAAGCAGTTTCAAATTAAGAAAATTTGCCTTATTTTATCTTATACTTTCCCATGACCAAATTATCCCCAAGACTGTCATCTTTCTGGATGTATTCTTGCCTACAATTCACACTTTCTTTTAATAATTACAAGGCAGTACTTTCTCCCCAACTTCATAATATCTTTAAAACTTTCTTTAAAAGATATTCTGTCTACCATACAGAATTAATATTAAATCAAAGGAAAAATTATGCTAACTCAGTTACCTCCACTTAACCATGATGCAAAAAAAGAGACCACCGACTCCAATTTTAAATCAAATTAAAGCAAGCTTATATTGTTTACACAAAGAAAGCTGCCTAGGATTGTCTCTCCCTAAGCCAGGCTAGAGATCAGCCACCCAGCTCTTCAGGAACAAGGTTTATAGCATAAGAAGTTGCAAAGTGGGGAGGGTGTCTTGAGAATTTACAGATAACAGGATTTTGACAAGCATAATACAAAGGCAGATAGCAGGTTAATGATCTACATGGTATGATATTTTAAGGTAGGGAGTAAATTTAGATCCCAACATCAGAATTTATGAGACGCTGATGAGGTTTCAGAGAGGGTTGTTATCTGGTCAGGGGGAGCTAGATTTATGAGGTGCCACTAAGGTTTTAGAGAAGGTTGTTATCTGGTTAGGGAAAGCCAGGCATGGGTGAGTTCACGTCATAGGCAGGAATTCCAAACAAGTTTAGAAATCACAGTAATTTATAGTGATAGACCCAGACTGATTCCCTCTTAAAATTGGAAACTATCTTGCCACAAAGACATAAAAAGCTAATTTCGGCTTCACTATAAATTACTGCAAGTTCTGAACTTGCTTGGAATGCTTGCCCATGCCTTGAACTCACCCATGCCTGGCTTTCCCTGACCAAATAGCAGCCCTCTCTGAAACTTTAGTGACGCCTCATAAATCTTGGCCTTCCCTGGTCAGATAATGACCCTCTCATAGGCTCTAATGACCTTCATAAATTCTGATGTTGGGGCCAGCAAAAATATAAACTACCATTTGTATTATGCTTGTCAGAGTTTTGTTATCTGTAACCCCCCTTTGTGTAACTTTCTGGGCTATAAAGCTGAGCTGCAAGAAAGATGCGGGGCTGTCTTATTCCTGCGGTTTCTGTTGGGAGAGGCAGCCAGGCCAGTTGAAATAATAAGCTTACTTTAATTTGATTTTAATTGGAGTCAGTGGTCTTTTCTTTGCATCCTGGTCTAACAATAGTAAAACAGAAATTAACTTTTCATGACTTTGTGACAAGATGGCTCCCAATCTTAAGAGGAATTAGGCTGGGTTCATCACTTAGAACACTTAATTTCTTTTTTTCTAAAGCATCCTTTTTTTTAACCTTAATTTAATTAATTAATTTATTTTTATGTGGTGCTGAGGATTGAACCCAGTGTCTCATGTGTGCCAGGCAAGCACTCTATCACTGAGTCACAACCCTAACCCCTAGAGCAGCTATTTTCAATCTTGGCTATACACTGGTTTAAAAAATACTGATGCCTACACCCCAACATCCACACTAAAAATCCAACTTATTTGATCTAAGATGCAGGCATTAGGAGTTTTAAAAGGCCTACCAGAGATTTTAATGGGCAGTTAAGACTGAGAACCCCTAATGTAAAGGAACTTTTCAGCTCCTGACACACCATAACTTTTAACCTATCATTCAAGAATTTCTTTTGTAATTTTCTTAGGATGACTGATAAGTAAAAAGAGACCAGACCAAACTTATTCTGTGTAAAATGGGCAAGAACAAGATCATTGTCAAAGGAATAATTAGCCTTGGCTTAGAAATCCTAATTACCTGCCTGCTAGGTCCACAAGGTTGATCTTGCTAGCAATCTCAGATGGGAAATTGTTTTCCAGGATTGCCTAAAGGAGAAAACACATTTAAAGTTGTCAATTGGGATGATTTGCATTTTTTCCGCTTCAGACACTCTCCAACCCAAGGTGATATTTTGGATTTTTATCCAATTCACTCAAGAAATGTGTATTCTAATGTGCTCTGAACCAGAAGAGCTCTCAATATCTGATAGATAAAATCAGTAAGTTCTAGGCTTAAAATCACTTAAAATCACTAACATGTCTCACAGAGTAATCAGGGAAAATTCCCATCAAGTTCTCTGAGCATAATTTTCAAAGGCACCAGGAATTTTAGTACACTTTACCAGGCAAACATTCTCCTTCAGGGGGCTCTGACTCTTATCAGAGAACTACAATAGATGGGATGGCCCATGATGAGGTTTCTCTCTCTGGTTAACTTTAGTCACACATATTTACCTGCCAGCTCAGGAATTCTATGTATTGTAGCCCTAGGCAGCAAAACTACTTTTCTTTTTTCTCTCCACTAATTCAACATGGGTTTTTTGTTTTGTTTAATAACATTTTAATGTTATGAGTCCATCACTGAAATCTAGTTTTAAGATACTTCCAATAAGCCCCAAATTCACTCAAGTCTCTTTGCAGTTGATCTCTGGACCCATGAACTTTCTATATAAATGTAACCTTTTTAGGATATTTCCAATAAATGGTATACAACAATCTGGCTTTTTTATTTTTATATTTTGGTATTGGGAATTGAACCCCAGGGTGCTAAACCATTAAGCCACACCCATAGCCTATTTTATTTTTTGAGACAAGTCTCAGTTGCCTAAGACTTCATTAAGTTGCTAAGGCTGGTCTTGAATTTTCAATCCTCCTGTCTCAGCTTCCCAAGTTGCTGGGATTATAAGCATGAGCAACTTCAACTTCTGGCTTCTTTTACCATGCAGCAATATTTTGAGATTCATCTATGTTGAAACATGTATCAACAGTTCATTTTTATTGCAGAGTAGTATTGCATTGCATGATTACACCATACTTATCCATTTCCTTTTGATAGACATCTGTGTGTTTGTAATTTTAAGTAATTTCAAATAAAGCTGCTATATATATTTGTATAGAAGTCTTTTAATGGACATACGATTTCTTTTATCTTGGGGAAAATATTAAGGTATATATTTAACTTTTTAAGAAACTGCTAAATTGTTTTCCAAAGTTGTTCCACTTTATCTTCCTACCAATAGAGTAACATATGAAAACTCCAGCTTCTAAACATCTGGTCAATATCCAGTGGAAACAAACTTCAATTTAGATATGTTAAAAAGTGGGTAGGAATATTTCATTAGTTTTTTTTAGTTTCATTTTTCTAGTGATTAATGATATTGACTATTTTTTAAAGTATTTAATCCCCACTTGTATATTTTCTTTAGTGAAAGAAATGCTCAAATTTTTTGCACATTGCTTTGAGTGTGTTGAGTTTAGAGAGATCTTCGTGTATTCTGGGTACAATTCTTTTTTTTTTTTTTT